CTAGTTCGTCTCCTAGGTACAACAATAGTCACTGTAATCATTATATCAGACAAAATTTAAATGGTAATTAGAGTAATTATAATACCAATTTGGAGAGGGTGTGGGAGAGATGAAGATGTGGGAAAGAGATGAAGATTCTGTGAAACACAGTAAGAAAATGCTATTGAGAAGTCCACCTACAACGATGTTGATGTCTAGGTAGGGGTCTCTGTTGATGTCTAGGTAGGTGTGTCTCTTGGTGTCTAGGGAGGTGTGTCTACCTGTACATGGAGGTCCCTAGAGACTTGGTGGAGGGGTCATAGTAAAGAGTCTCCAGAAAATGAATTTATACCCAAAATGTTTTGGTCAAGGGAATTGTTGGGGTTGGCTGGTGGTTCGTGGGGTTGGAAGATGGAGCAGCAGGTGGGGTTAAATATATGTGGGGTGCATGGCGGGTGTTGAATAATATCCGGCGTTTTTAGTCAGGTATTGGGCCTATTTCTTATGCAGGTGTTAGACATATGTTGTATATCGTCTCACTGTTCAATTCGTCCTTAAGATGAAGGCTACGAGGTCCGTAAGATCTCTGAGCATCTGTATACACAACACTTACGAGGGCCTACGACGAGCTTTGAGGTAATTACTGACAGTTTCGTAGCGCCTCCGACCTCGTAAACGTCTCCGTAAATACCGATTGAGTCCATATGATGGAGAACAGATGTACACATCTCGTAAGTGCTCTGTGAATACGGCGGGGGAGCTTGTGAGGGGGAAAACTTAAAGGTTTCTCTTAAGAGTAATTCAAGAAAATGATTTCCCTCGACTTCTATTTTGGACGCATTCGATCCTTTTTCTGTTTTTACAGTTTCTGTATGAAGTTTTTTTTTTGCATGGTGTTTTGATTTTTATATTAGAGGAATGTTAATTTTTTTTATTTGAAACTTTCAGAGAAGCAATGTAAATTTATTGTTCTAAATTGTCTCTGAATGTATATTTTCCGGCATCTGACTTTCATTTATATATGTGTATTTTCTGTTTTTATTTATGTGTATTTTCTGTATAATATTAAATTTGGAGAATCAAGGCGCGCCTTGAGTCTTCCTGTGTGGCGGTGTAGAGGTCAATGTGACAGTCCATCCTCTGAATAGACAGTACGTTTTAATACTAAATGTAATAAGTACGATCCTGACTATCGGCATAGTACATAAATACACTTAATTGTAAGCAGTGCATCAAAATATTGTGAATATTAGAGTTTACCTGAAAAGCTGTATGGAAAACCACGACCTAACCTAACCTTGGGAGTGTTGGAGGACAAGCATGTAAATAGCATTTATTGCTTCTTAATTACAATTAGTACTTAACCTATAGCTATATTGATATTACAATTTTATAAAACTAATAAAACAAAAATAAAGTCTTTCAATAAAGTATAAAGTAACTCAGGATATATTAAAATTTTGTATAAAATCTCTATTGTTTAATAAAACTGAAAAAGAAATTCTTTATATTTAAAACTTGTGTATATAGAATTGAACACGAAAAATTCAACCTAAAATTTTTATATTTATAACTTGTGTATATAGAATTGAACACGAAAACTTCAACCTAAAAATTTTGAGTGTATTAACACAAAATTTGAAGAATACTTAGGAGGTAAATGTAACAGCACAATTAAGTGCCTTAATGTACTATGCAGACAGTCAGGAATGTACTTATTACATTTAGTAATAAAACGTACTGTCTATTCGGATTTAAGGTTAATGACAGTAGCAATAACACTTAACTCTCTGCGGTTCACCACTTTGTTGCGTGGATTTCGGATTTTAACCACAGACGTGGCCACACATTTACAATGCTAACCAGCATATATATACATTTTCTTCTGTCCTCCACGTGTAAGACTCGGCCTTATGTAACGTATTGCGCATTGAAACACTTTTGGGATGCAAGGAATTGAAGCCCCAATGTTTCACTCGTACAGCATTTGCTCTCGTATTGTTTTGACCGGACAGAGGGTTCAATTGTCTGTTGTAGGAGAGTTAGGGAAGAGGGGGGGGGGGGGGGGGGGTCAATCGACAGACAGACAGAGATCATTGGTGTTTTGTAAGTGTTATAGAGGAGGAATATTTTGATTTTTCGCTGGATATTGGGTTCAGTCGTTTATGTTGAGCCGGAATGCATGATCCAATCGTGTGTGTGTGTATATATATATATATATATATATATATATATATATATATATATATATATATATATGTCGTACCTAGTAACCAGAACTCACTTCTCAGCCTACTATGCAAGGCCCGATTTGCCTAATAAGCCAAGTTTTCATGAATTAATGTTTTTTCGTCTACCTAACCTACCTAACCTAACCTAACCTAGCTTTTTTTGGCTACCTAACCTAACCTTACCTATATATATAGGTTAGGTTAGGTTAGGTAGGGTTGGTTAGGTTGGGTCATATATCTACGTTAATTTTAACTCCAATAAAAAAAAAATTGACCTCATACATAGTGAAAAGGGTAGCTTTATCATTTCATAAGAAAAAAAATTATAGTAAATATATTAATTCAGGAAAACTTGGCTTATTAGGCAAATCGGGCCTTGAATAGTAGGCTGAGAAGTGAGTTCTGGCTACTAGGTACGACATATATATATATATATATATATATATATATATATATATATATATATATATAAATAAAAATGACAACAGAACCAGAATACTGAAAACTCCCTTCCCTAAGGATAGCTAAAAACGAGATTGCATAGTATTGATTTCAGAAAATACCATAGATGAATTAAAGCGTCTTCAAGGAGCACAGGTTGAGGAAAGGGTTGGAAATAGAGGCATCAATCTTTCATGCAAGACGTGAGTCTATTTCATGAGGGATAAGGGTTTCAACTCTTTACATGTCACAGATTAGGGAGTTCTGTTGCCTGTTGTAAGAGATATAGAGAGGGTTCACATAGATTTGACGACTGATAGACGGTTTAATTATCTATACTGCATGGAATAGAATGGGGCCACTTCTCTATATAACAGGCGATAGACGGTTTAGTTGTCTATGTTGTAAGGAATAGGGAGGGTCCACTTGTTTATAATGCTAGGCATAGCAGGTCCAGTTGTCTATATAACAAGGGATGGGTAACAAGGGATAGAGGGTTCATTTCTCTTCATTGCAAAGGAAAGAGGATCCACTTGTCTATATTGCAAGGGGATTAAAGGTTCAGTTGTCTATATTGCAAGGATTAGAGGGTTCAGTTCTCGATATAGCAAAAGATAGAGGGACTATTTGTCTATATAGTTTGGGATAGAGGGCTCACTTGTGTATAGAGCAAGGGATAGGGGGGTTCAGGTGACTATATAGCAAGGAATAGAGGGTCCAGCTGTCTATATAGCAAGGGATAGGGAGGTCCAGCGATAATAATATATTAAGGTATTTCTGATGCTTTTATGGGCGAGTACTTCCTAGTGAGTACACCCCCTGCAGGATGAGTACTTCCTGGTGAGTACACTCCCTGCAGGGTGAGTACACTCTTGCATGGTGAGTACACCCCCTACAGGGTGAGTACTCACCATGCAAGAGTGTACTCACCAGGGAGTACTTCCTGGTGAGTACACTCCTGCAGGGTGAGTGCACTCCCTGCAGAGTGAGTACTTCCTGGTGAGTACACTCACTGCAGGGTGAGTACATTCTGTCGAGTACACTCCCTGCAGGGTGAGTACATTCTGTCGAGTACACTCCCTGCAGGGTGAGTATTTCCTGGTGAGTACACTCACTGCAGGGTGAGTACATTCTGTCGAGTACACTCCCTGCAGGGTGAGTACTTCCTGGTGAGTACACTCCCTGCAGGGTGAGTACTTCCTGGTGAGTACACTCCCTGCATGGTGAGTACTTCCTGGTGAGTACACTTCCTCCAGGGTGAGTACACTCCTGGTGAGTACACTAACACTCCCTGCAGGATGAGTACTTCCTGGTGAGTACACTCCTGCAGGGTGAGTACATTCTGTTGAGTGCACTCACTGTCGGGTGAGTGCATCCTGGTGAGTACACTCCCTGCAGGGTGAGTGCACTCCCTGCAGAGTGAGTACTTCCTGGTGAGTACACTCCCTGCAGAGTGAGTACTTCCTGGTGAGTACACTCCCTGCAGGATGAGTACTTCCTGATGAGTACACTCCTGCAGGGTGAGTACATTCTGTTGAGTACACTCACTGTCGGGTGAGTGCATGCTAATCTTCGCCAACATTATCATCTGAATTATTATACTCATCATATTTAAACCTAATTACTCGGAATTATGATAACTGATAATTACCACCATTGTCAAGGATCAGAACCAAGTCAAGGATCATTAAGTTGCCTTTAAGTTTTCAGTGACTCTGTTAATAATATTGTCCATATTCTCGTTATGTTATCAGGTGTTTGTTATCAATTCTAAGATAACATAGTGGTGGCTAAGGTTGGGACGTAACAGCGGGGTTGTGTCGTTATGATGGTGGGGGGTTGTGATGGTGGGGTTGTGATGTAAGAGTAGGGGTTGTGATGGGGGGTTGTGACGTAGTGATGGTGAGGCTGTGATAACGTCCAGTAAACGATATTTCTACCCGTATATATATTTTTTTGAGGGGGTTTAACATTTTCAGCCTTCTCTATGTAGCATGGAGTGTGTGTGTGTGTGTGTGTGTGTGTGTGTGTGTGTGTGTGTGTGTGTGTGTGTGTGTGTGTGTGTGTGTGTTCGTCTCCCACTTGTGTATTGTGTATTCTCTCGCTGTTGGTGTACTTTCCAAGCAGCCTGTATGCCCGGAAACCTCTCCCTTGTGTATTGTGGTTACTGCGATATACAATCCAGTGCATTAACATCTTCTGAGGTCCTAGCAGAGACTCTTACATAATCCTCTTTCTTCGTGATGTTAATGCTTGTTAGTTTGGGCGGGTCGGGTCGGGTCAGGCAGGCAGGCAGGCAGGCAGGCAGGCAGGCAGGCAGGCGGTGATCACGCACGGATTATGTTACAGGCGTTGTGTTATTCTCCTCTGCCGTATACTTCGCTGACGCCGGCTCTGAGCGCTCCTGCTTCAAGAGCATCCCGGACGCCTTCTGGTGGGCCGTTGTCACCATGACGACAGTGGGCTATGGAGATATGAGGTAAATTCAGGTGATGATGCTGCTGGTGCTGCTGCTGCTGCTGCCGCTGCTGCTGCTGTCACACACATATTCCTTCCCCCTCGGGGCTTCCTGACGGTGCTGAGCCGGGAGTGACGCAAGTGCCCGGTCACCTCAAACCCTCCGTCAGGTGTGGAGCTCGTAACAGGCTTGCAGTACGGCAAAAGGGCATTCTGGACCAGATGGACCGTTTACATCCTGCCGTCAGCGGCACGCCCCGGATGACAGGCTAGGTCTCTGACGTCACCACTCTTGGCTAGACCCCGTCCATCTGATCTAGAATTCGTTTTGCGAACGATTGTTTGCTCACAGTTAGCAGGGACGTCGCCCGCACCGTCAGGAGCAGCCGAGGGCGTCACTGTCAGCGGCGGCCCACTCCCTCAGAAGTGGGCCGCTCCTGCCCTTCCTACAGCCCACCTTTTTCCCCCCTTTTCCCCCCTTACCTACCAACCACTTCCGCTAGTCTTTCATCCCCAGCTTTTCCCCAGCGCCTTCCTCACCAGGGGGGAAGATAGGAGGCGTAGTCAGACCTGGGGGGTCGTGTCGTGTCACTGGGGGGAGCCCTGCACATGCCACACACCTTCAGCCCCCTCTCCCCCATATCCCCAACCCCCCAGAGAACCTTTCCGCCCCCTCGTTCTTCTGCCCTGGGGAGTGAGGCCTCAATGTGTCTGTTCCTATTGCAGGTGTGGTACTGTTCTCAAGTGCTGTGTACTTCGCCGAGGCAGGCTCAGAAAAATCCTACTTCAAGTCTATTCCTGATGCCTTCTGGTGGGCGGTCGTCACCATGACAACAGTGGGCTATGGAGATATGACGTACGGGTCCCATGAGCCTCCTGTGGCTATCCTGCATGACTCTAGCCCGGCTAGGCCCTTGCCAGCTCTCAGCGGCGCACACACTCACACACACATACATATACATACACATACATACACGCCAGCTAGCATGTCCGCTCTAACACACTCACCAAACACACGTACACGAAGAAACACATGCATGTCCGCCCTAAAATACACACACACACACACACACACACACACACACACACACACACACACACACACACACACACACACGCGCACACACACACACACACACACACACACACACACACACACACCTGTACTAATATGGTCGCGCCGGGCGGGTAGGGGAAGAGGTCTGATCTATGGACAAAATAACAGTTGACAGTCAAAGCCAAGACCGTCGCAAGCACGATAATATTAACACTGCCGCTCCCTGTGTGCCCCAAGACAAGTGTCATTATGTGTACACATGTACACAAACACTGGTCAATGTTTACATAGTGCTTTGCAAAATGTCTTATCATTGTGTCAAGTCCGGCGAAGTGCCATATATCTTGGACCTGTTCCCCCGCCCAACCCACTATACTGCGCAGGGTATTAAGGCAAGCCACGAGAATGGGTGATGCCCTTAACCGTAGTAACCAATCACAATTCACGGCCGTCCAGTCCCTGAGTTGTGGTTGGCTGCAGGACCAACGCTTGGTTATACCCTGCCTTTGTTTTTGTTTTTTTTCCCCACCGCCAACTTTGGCCCCCCTACAAGCATTGACGGACGAACTGAATGATGCCTTCACAATTGCTGTTTGACTTGTGCATGCAAGATATTTTTTCACGGTGGGTTCTTGTGTCAATGAGGCATTCCTGACAGACCACAGCACGAGGCCACAGACTTGTATATGACAGGAGCTCACATCCAGCGCTCAATTCTCACTACTAAGTCACGCCAGCTGCGCTATAAGACCCATTTTGACGGGGGGTTGGCCGCCCGGAAAATGGATCTTGTCTACTTTCTCCTTTTTTTTTTATATTGTTCTAAAGTCTAACCAAACATGTCTTCCTTGCTGCAGGTTGAGCATGGCTTATTGATACTTGAGGCAGCGAGCCGGCTATCTAAAGCTACCACGTCACACACACACACACACACACACACACACACACACACACACACACACACACACACACACACACACACACACAAGACGACCATTAAGACTCGTGTTGCACCCATAGCGTGCAGTCTTGTTCCCACCTGGAAGAGACTTGACATAATTTGCATGTTTACTATCAACGGCTCCCTTAAGAGTCCCCCACATGACGACCATTAGCCAGCCTGCACACGCAAACTTTATATCATATTCTAGAAGGTCACTCATAAATAGCAATAATATATATATATATATATATATATATATATATATATATATATATATATATATATATATATATATATATATATAGTACTGAGTCCTAGTGTGACTACTGAGAAAGTCTTTATTAGTGGAAAACGCATCATAGCTCTTTAATTTTCAAAGAGTTTTTTTCGCATACTTTGATACATGTTTACATGATCGATGTATATATATATATATATATATATATATATATATATATATATATATATATATATATATATATATATATATATATATATATATATAGGAATTACAGGGAATTAACTCTTGAGTTAATCATCACAACACATGATAATTAACACGAAAGCGCTTAAGTAATTTTAATTTTCCTTCGTGGTTATACATTGTCAGTATTTTATATGTATATTATAGGTATAGTTTCATTGAATATGACCGCATATTCTGTATTTATTATTTTCTGGTTTAGTATTGTAAGATCTGTTCACTTGAGAATGAACCATGGAGGTTCGAAACGTCGTGCAAATTATACAAATAAGTGGAATACACTCTATAGTAAATCACTTCTTTTCTTCACCTTAAAAGTACGAAAATGAGTTTTGGAGAACTCCTATTTCAATTAAGCCCTGATGCTAAGAAAATAGTTAGAGGGATAGAAGCCCTAAACCAGAAAATAATAAATACAGAATATGCGGTCATATTCAATGAAACCTGTTTGAAAGAAAACCTGCTGCCAGTATACACCAATATAGGTATAGTATATTGTTTTCAGTTGTATAGTATATATATATATATATATATATATATATATATATATATATATATATATATATACATATATATATGAAGGGGTGAGATCAATATATTCAAGCACGAATCGTCTCTATATTTCATTAAGTTCTTCAACTGAGAAGGAAGTAAAAAAAAAATATCTCCAAAATTCATCACGAAACTTTATATATATATATAGCCTGACGCGAAGAGATTTGTCTCATTGATCTTGTCATCATTTTCAAAGACAAGAGGTGAATGATGGGAGTACATATAAGGTGGGACAACTCCAGGTATGACCCCAGGAAGGTGAAGTAGAGTGTATGTGGACATCTCCGCCTCTGATTGAGGTTGATGTGTAGTGCTTCGCTGATGTCTAATCTTCTTTTGTCGCTGTTTTTGTCAGTTATTTCGGTGTTGATGGTAAGGACATAGCTGGTGATTTGGTTGTGTGTAGGAATTATATGTTATTTGATGCAGCCTTGGTGTTTGTGCATTGTCAATCGCCTTGAAAGAGATGTTGTCTTGCCTATAGACTGAGATCTATGGGGCTGACAGTCCCCCTAGTTGGCATGTGAAGGCGGAGGTGATATTTGTCTCTCAAGATGTTTTGTTTGGTGTGAGGAGAGCTCTTCGTGAGCAGGGTGGCAGCCTGCTGGTTCTTGTAGTACATTGTCAACATCGTCTTCTGGTTGGTGTCAGTGAGGGTCTCGCGTCTATCAATAATGTCTTTCAAAACTCCTACATTTTATTAGCAGTGGAAACAAGTTCCTATAATATTGGCCGTTGCGTAGGAGGTAGCAAGGTGGTTCATCTTCCTTTTAATGATCTCTTAAACATATCCATTAGTAGGTCCATTATTGACTATGATCTGCCTTTACCAAGTTGTTCATCAACCTGCTTCCCACTGTGAGTGAGAGCAGGACTGACAAGGTCATGGCACTCACTGCTAACATTAGCGTACATTCCCATGTTGATTCTCCTGGTGTTGACTGTGTCCTCATGTTGGTTTCCCTGGCGTCAGACTGCGGTATGACAGCCACCATTCCTTTCCCAGACTGTGACATGACCAGTGAAACGAAGGCAGCTCACTCACCATCTCGTGAGTGAAACTTAACACGAAATTTTCCTCGAATGCATCCTTGAGTTATACCAGTCATTCGGTGTCAGGTACCTTCCTGTATATGCCATCAACATGCCTAAAGAAAACGTCAGGTTTTAAGCCTGAGCCCGCAAGGACTTTCTGTTCACTAGAACTTGTGTACAAATTCGTAAATAGGACACCAAGGACGGGGCAATGGGGAAGAAACCCCACAGCCATTCCACCTGCTTGTTGGTGCAGGAGACCATCAGAGCTCAGGCAGCAAGGAGCTTCAATACATGCTTCGCTCAGCGTCTCTGATGACAGTCAGGCTTGTAGCAGCATCAGGCTATATAAAACTCTAAAATTAACTTTTCAGATGTCATTTTTTTCAACTCGAGTACACAAGAAAGTAAGAAATACATGTACACACATCCCACACATCTAAATACAGGAAACGACAACGTTTCAGTTTGTCATGAACCATTTTCAAGTGGTGTAAAGAGTGGTAGAGAAAGTGACTATATAAAGTAGGAGTGTGAGATGATAGGGGAGAAGGTTGAAGTATACCATGGGGAGTTAATAGAAATAAAGAAAACTGGTAGAAGGCCTAATGGCCAAGAGAAAGTAGATCTTCTTCGGCCGTGTGATTAGACTTTTCCAGACTTTTCTCTCTCAACAATCTGGCTCCTATCATTTTCAAAGATGAATATAAACTTTAATGATTTCCATTCCTTTCTGTGTGCGCCTTTCTTACTGTCTCCCGCACAGTGCTATGTACCTTCATGTGTTTTCCTACCATCCACCTTCTGTTAAGATAAGTAGTCTCGTCTCCCTACTCCTCCAGGTCTCTTGTATGTCACCCTTAGTGTCTTTGAGTGTGACATTTATCTTCGTTACAAATCTTCCTAGCCTTGGTTATTTAATTGTATCAACTGTGCCAGTCCTAAGGT